ATTTGGCTAAAATAGCATCACACTATTTTATAAATACTCAAAGAGTAAAAGGAGTTTTTAATATTCAAAAGATGTGTTACATTTGGCCATAGGGCCTGATTTATATAGACAGGGGAAAGGGGGCAATAATTCACAATGCAATGAATGTGAACATGAGGAAGCTTCCTAGCAACATCCTCCTCCAAACATGGGGTAATCTTTCTTCAATCTTGTCTCCTGGGTGGTCTTAAAAATCAGAGATGAGGCTGGGTTTGTGGGGGTTGTGAGCTTTGGTTTGTAGTGGTTGTTTTCTGGGTTTTAAGGCTATTATTTGGGTAAATATGAGGGGTTGTGTTTGCTGAGAAAAGGGGACAGGGATGGGGGCTATAATGGGTGGTTTTGGACTTATAGGTTTGGGTTTTTTGTGAGGGAATATGGGCAGGAATGAGTGGCTAGTGGTGGGTCAGGTTTTTGGCCTTTTGTGGGTGTTTATGTTGGGATTGTGAAGTGTATTTTGGCCAGGGGTGAATGGAATAAAGGGAGGGTTTTATTGGCTTAATAAAAGGCTTAAAAAAAGGAAAATAACATCAAACAAAAGGTTTTATTTTACACACTCTTATTTTCGGCCCTGGGCTAAAATAAGAGTAGGAAAAACTTTATTTTGAAAAGGAAATATTTTGGGTGTTTAGGGAAGGTATGGGGAGTGTGGGCTCAGCCTCGGGTGTGGGACATGGGGGAGGGTATGATAGGGCCAAGCCCGGATATAACATAGTCTTGTTAATTGAGTAGTATGTTGCTTTAGAACCATTCTCGCGTTAAACCTGCAAGCAAACTGAGTTTGGGAATTGACTTGATCAGGAGGTGCAGGAAGAGAAGGAGGTTGTGGGAGACCCTTCATTTGGAAGGGGAGCTTATCAACATAACCCTCTGGTTATGACTGGGTGAAGAGTAATGGCTTTCGTGCAATTTGGTACAGAAAATTGCTGGCCTTTTGTGAGTAGGGTTATAAAAGAAGCGAATATTTTTTGTTCGGTTCGTGATTCGTATTTGATTACTTCGAATCCGAATTCGAATTGAGGATACTGATTCCTTTTTTTGCTTGAGCCAGGGGTCTCTTGGAATTAGAAACAACCTTACTACTTTGGAGTAGGTGCAAGGTCTGCCTACACACTCTGTCGAGACCCGACACTTGTGAGATTCAACAGGGCTGTGGTTGTACTCAATCGTTTTGTGTAGAACTGTGTGTGCCTTTTCCTCTTTGGGTGGTTTTGTGTTCCCTTCAATGTCCAATCCAAGCAGCACTCTTACATCTATCTTTTGCATGTGGATGTGCTGTAGTGGTTATACTTGTAAGCAGCAGTCTTCCCTTCAATGTCAGTATACGAGACGCGATTCAACAACGCCTCAGCGTTCGACCTCGTCCCTCCCCTCATCATGCCTTGTTGTTCTCTCCGTTATTACCAGGTATGTTCAAAGCCCTAACTAAGTGGAGTAAATTCTATTAAAAAGACTTGCAGAACCGTTTGGGAAAGGAGTTAATTTTTTGTTAAATATTGATTTTTTGAATTTCAAAGTTTTCATCTAATTGAAAGAAAACTTAAAACTCTAAATTGAAGTGAGGAGAAAGCTTTGTTGGAGGTTTCATATGTGATCGATGTTCTCCGTGTAGGGAGGGGAGGGATTCAATTTCACCATGTTGAGGGGCATCCTTTCATTCACAGCATGTCCTACCTTTACTGGTTCCTTGCTGTAGATTTTGAAGGAGAGGCCTTTTATAAACAAACATTATGCTAAGTTTTAGGATTATGAGTCCATTGCTTTCAGATTAATTCTCTGTTTGTTCTTTGAATATTTCAACCCAATTGGATGCAGTGAATCTAAAATTATGGATGATTCCGGAAATCTTCTGAAACAGTACCCCTACGTTACATCCCAAGATGTGGACTATCTTCGAGAGGGTTATGGTGCTCTCGAAGATATTAGTCAACTTGTTCGACGTATAAACACAGCACGAGAAACTGAACAAGCCAATGGTCGTGAACATGTCTTAGCTGGACCATTGCTTGATGTGCAATCTGTCCATGTACTACCAAAAGCAGCACACAAAGGCAGACCAGTTTTTGTGTATGGTAGGATTCATGTTAGTTATCTACACATCAGTGATGGTAGACAAATGCATCTTGACATTTATAACCGAAGTGCCGATGATGCTGAATACATTAGCCCAACTGGTGGTTATTTGACACTCACTTGGCCTGATGATAATCATTGGAAGGTCTACGACTTGTGGATGAAATTGGACAAAACAACAATAGCTGTGGATCTCTATCTCAAAATTGGAGATCGAACGGCTCCGCTTGCCGTAGATGACATTTTAGTGGGGGATACAACCAAAGGTGATTTTGAAGAAGTGAAATCAAAAGAAGTCGGTGGAAAACTTTGCTCTGCTACTGTTGTTTATATGGGCAATGCCATTTGCTACTTTGGGTCGACTGGGTGTTCTTTTCTCTAGCAATGACAAAAACATCCATCAAGTTAATGTTTCCGGTAAAATATCTGGACGATATAAGAACACTTACGGCAACTATGACTCGGAAGCATGGTTTTAAAAGGCAAAAAAGGCGGTCCGCCCTGAGGCGGTAAGGCGCTGAGGCGGTAGTTTTTTGCCCCAGAGGCGTTCGCACCAGATGATTTCCGCGAGGCGTACGCCTTGATTTATTGAGGCGGTTCGAGGCTGTAAGGCGCTGAGGCGGAAACGAGGCGTTCGCCTTGAAATATAGTCCGTATAAGCCATATTCTGCCCTTTTGAATTTAAGTTATTGGGCCTTCAAATAGTTGGCCCCTTTGAAAAAGTTAGGCAGGAAGCACTACTTAAATATAAATAAATAAAAATTCTTAAAGTTCCAATTTTCCAATCGCACCCCTGCGTGGCTGTCCAGCTTCCGATTCTCTCTCTTTCGCCGTCTCTCTCTTTCACTCTGGCTTCCGGTCGTTTCTCTCTTGTCGCGGCTTTCCCTGTGCAATTTGGCTTCCTATTCTCGTTTCTCTCTTAAGGTACGAATTTATGATTTCTTGAAGATTTGTTTTAACTTTTTTTTACTCTGGTAATTTTATTTTCCAAAATTCCAGCAACTTGAAGAATTTTAAGTTAGCCAATTTTAAGATTTTTCATTATTAAATTTTAAGATTTTTCATTGTTAAATTGTTTATATTATAATTTATAATTACTTTAAATTTAATCTT